TCTGTCTATCTATGGTGTCACACTGTCCATTTGTGAATCTATCTGTTTAGTTCAGTGTCTTGTCTGGTTCTGTGTCTGTGAGTTTCCTGTTTTATTCTGAAGGTCTCTGTCTCATGTGAGTGTGTTCAGGTTATGTTCCCCTGTCCCGTTAGCTTTGATTTCTCCCAGGTGTGTTCCCCTCCTGTTGCTCACCTCTTGATTGCTGTTATGTGTATTTAAACCCTGTGTGTTCTCCTGCCTGTTGCCGGTCCATCTGTGTTCCACGGTGTCCTGTTCCTCGTCTGCGGCTCTCTGCCTCCTATCCCTTTTGGTATCATCCCAGGTTTGTTATTTAGTTTTCCCAGTTTAGGTTTCTTTAGTTTATTGTCCTCCCTCATTGCCTGTTTTGCCACCACCCCTCTTTGTAAATAAACTTCACTAGCATTATCATCCACTGCTTGCATTTTGGGTCCTTTCTCCCTCTAACACCACACGGCTTGCCTCGGCAGTCGTGACATGTGTCTTTGTTCCTGCGGTGTTGTGCTCACGATGCAGTGCTGATGTTCTCTCCTTGAATGCACAGCAAGTATGGTGCTGGTCTTTCTCGGGTGGAGCAGAGACAGATTGAAGTCTTTCAGTGTTTAGTGCAGACTTCCCTGACAGCGGCTGGACTCAAAGGTCTGCACAGGAGGCTTCTACACTGTGTGGAGGTGACTCCTGGACTTGAAGACAGGCTGCTGCATGTGTGATGAAGAGGACCTACAGCAGTGTGATGGTGTGATGAAGGTCTGAAGGAAGTCCTGCTGTCCTGTCCTGTCCCAGCCATGCAGGCAGTGGGCTGCTCTGCTTGTGCTGTTGTTGGTGAAGCTGAAGTGAAAGCGAGAGTTAAAACAATGAACAGTGTCCACTGAGCTTCTCATGCTCTTCTTCTTTGATCCTCCGTGTTTGTGCTAAACGCTGCTGTCGCTCTCTTCCCTGTTCCCGCCCACTTTCCAACCAATCAGCATTGGAGCTCGCACAGAGTCGTCCACACTGAGCTTTGTTGTGAGCGCGTGGACTCGTCTGCAGAACATTTGCAGTACAATAAGCAGCTGTGCATGCGTCCCAAGCAGCAGCAGCTTCAAGCTCACCTCGAAGTTTATAAGGGATATTGGACGATAGCTTAAGGGATATACAGGGTCTTTGCCTGGTTTTAGCAGGAGATTAATGTTTGCAGAATTCATATTTGATGGAAGTCTTTCCTTTTCTTTGATTTCCAACAATGTTCTGTAGAAAACTGGTGCTAGAATCGACCAGAATTCTTTGTAGAATTCTGCAGGAAAGCC